GAGCTGGCCGACTAGGGGAAACCATTCGAGGACTCCTAATCGATTTTGATTTCTTCTTTTTTGTGTGTGTTTTTAGTTCGTTTCTGCTTTACTGCTTTCTTCCTTTTTGGGGGTGGGCGTCAAGAACCAACTACCGTGAAACGATCCGCGCTGGAACAACCGATCGATTGTGCATTCGGCGAAGAGTGTAAGAGGTGCTGGTGGATTTGTAGCCTAGGTGGAGCGAACTTAGTGACTTTCTTGGTGTATTGACCAGAGATGGGCAAACTCATTATTTAGATAAAGTCATTTTTAATTGTTTAAACGTGGAAATTTCAATTTTTATAGTAAAATAATACTGCTTTATGAATGAATCGACATTTGTCGAACAGTTATTTAATCTCATTAACTGTTTAAAGCTCAGGACGACATTCTTAGATACTGCTGCTTTTCACTGTGTATTATTCGAATAAAATTCTGCCCAACTCTGGTATTGACTTAGGAGATTGGTCTATGGTATGCATGGTAAACGTAAACCTCCAAATATGTTTTTAGAATAGGGAAAAGTTGTTCGTTTTTTGTACGAAATACTGGATTTGGGGTTAAAGGATTCTCCGTTCTTAGGTTGAGAAGGATCCTGGATTGATCCTTCTTGAACTCTGAGGAGTAGATTTAAACAGATTCAACTAATAGGTGATAATGGTGGCAGATACTGTTAAAATGTTTAGTACAATATCATTTACTGAAACTCGGGAAGACAATAGATTACTTTTCATTAACACGTTGAGGGACGTGATGGTTACTTATAAGAGGCGCCATTAAATTACACGAAGGAACATTTTATATATATTATTAAAGTAGAGTACACGTACGAATGAATGAACACTTAACAGATTTTGTAACTATTAAAACGATTAATTCGAATTTGAAATGATGATAATATTAATAAATATCTAGCACATGAAAATTAAATTTTTTAATATCTATACCTTTTTATGACGTATAGGTTTCAATTTGAAAAATTGGGAAAATATAATTAATTAGATTACAAGAAAATTTTTTCATGTCATGGATTCTTTTAATTATTATACAAACTTGAAATCGAAACATTGCACAGTGCATGTTTCTGTCAGAAACTTTGTCGAATGACATTAATACAAGGTTTAGAATAAATTTCTTTGGATAAGCAACACTTCCCAGAAGCATTCTCAACATCGTGTTCACCTGACACAAAGCAACATTGTGAGAAATTTAAATTCCCTTACGTGCGCCGTAAGCCGGTTTACGCACTCGGCACTCCTAAGCATAAAACTGCTACACCGTTAAATGTAAAAGTTCATCATGCATATTGTTACATAACAAACGTACGTTTCTACCGACTGTTTATAATGATGCATAAATTGACGAATTTCGACGTTTCCGGGATCTCATTATTAATTTCCAGGAAATCATCAGCCTTCTGTGATCTGGCATATTACAAGCAATTATTAGCATTCATTATGAGACGTAATAGAAACCGTAAACCGACAAAAGATTCGAGTTTCTGCAGGAACGTTATTTAATGTAAGAGTGCACGAATTTTCCTTAACCATATTTGAATTTATGGTCAAAATTACTCATCAAAGTGATTCTTAGATTCTTTAAAAAAATCAGACATATGATCTACTTTTGATTCCAGAAAACGAGTACGTCCCTTTATATACTACTGTTTGTTACTTATTGAAAGAAATATTTAATATGTAAATAATATACAAAGTGACTGATTTAAATCGATCACCACGAATATCTTCGAAAGCGATAATACCGTCAAATGTTTCAGATAAAAGTTGAATGGTTTCGAGAAATAGCTTTTTTATAAGGAATAACGAGCTGCATGAATAAATCCATTAAAAACTACACGATTCCATTTAAAATAATCAATTTCACCTCAATGTCCTCCATGTGTCCACCTACAAGGATCGGACCAAATTATTTCCCCCTCGAAACCATTCAACTATCATCTCAAACAATTTTCGATACCATCAACGATTTCAAAGATATTCCCAAGGATCAACTTAAACTACTAACCCTCTATATTAAAAAAAAAAATCACCGTACATTCATTACACCTGTCACCCGAAAATTAATCTACAAAAACGTGACTACCCGAGACAATCCACAGTCCACTTAATACAAAACGAAACTATCGTTCCTATTCGATCCACTCCCGTACAGATCAGCGAAACTTCTCGAGTCTCAGGGCCGCCGGTACCGAAACTGCGTACCCACGTATGCGCAGCTGAGAATGGCCACCGATCCCGTGACACGTGTGACGTAACCGTAACCCTGTTCGACGAAGGACACGGTTTTCTCCAGGTTCGATCTTCCTGTAAGATGGTATCGTTTCACCCGAAACAAAAAACCGGTATTACCTGTGAAGGCGAAATGGACAGGTGAGAGTGTGATAGTGGAGGGAGGGGGAAGGATCGAACCGGAGGGAAAGAAGACGCAGAACGAGGATTCGATGTCATACACGGTGACGACGTTTCGCCGCAAGGTCCGCCGCTACTTTTACTTTCGTTCGACGAACACACGCGGCCGTCGCGTCGCACAAACACAGCCGAAACGATCTCCCCCAGGGGGGCGATCGAAATCGACCGGTCAGTGCACACACGCCGCCGAAAAACTTTCATCCGGCTGCTTTTCTCGCTTTCTTATCGGCAATACACACACATACAGCAGGTCCCCCCACCCCCTCTTTGGCTCTTTCACTCCAGTTCGGGTGGATGAGGCTGGCCGGGGACGATCCGTCTTGAACCGAACCGAGCATCGAAAGTGAAATCGCGGACGCGAAGAAAAGGTGACGCGTCGCCTTCTCCCGTTCCTTATATGGCGCTCGGCTTTTTCATCATTTTATGCACGTACAGACAAACACACATTCGGTGCCCACGTAACCAGCCCCGGGGGTCAATCGACGATTTCACGAGGAGCTTCTTCCGCGTAGACATTAACGCCCCCTGATGTAGAGGGTGAATCTCTCGCTGCTAGGGTATAAAGGTAAGCCGCTTGTTGCGTCGTTTATGAGCCCCTAGCTACCTCTGTTGAAAAGCCTAGGTGTATGAGGCGAAGCTGGACCCACCACTAACAAGGGAAGGCACGGATGTGTCCCCCTCAGATTTTAATGGAACTTCGTATGCCTGTTAAGCAGTCAAAAATAATACGTATCTTTTTTTATCGGCTGAGACGCGACTTTAATGGATGAAATCACCCCTCGAAGTTTCGATCAGAAATTTTTTTGTTATATACAAATTATATTTTGGACAATTTGTTAGATCATATTATTCTGCATAATAAAACCGCAAACCTCGTCCATTAAAAGTTTTCATGTATCTTCTTTGATTTTCGAGGTAGTACTTTCGGGTCGAAACTTCGAGAAGTGGTTTCACCCCTTAAAGTCGCGTCTCAGAGGATAAAAAAGAATACGTATTCCTTATTTTTGACTGTTTAACAGACATACGAAGTTAGTACTATTAAGTACTAAGAGAGTTAATAACAGAAAATGTTTTTTTAGTCACATTTTTTAATGGGAACTATGTTGCCCACCCGGTCGTGGAATTTATTGTTTATGTAAATCCTTAAAATATTTGAAACCGTGACCAACTAGCAGCAAACTGTTCTTTAATACGTCACTGACATAAACAAACTCATTTGTAGCTATACAAGACGTATGAATCCCATCCACAATGCCCCAAACGCGAGCATTTGATTGAAAGGTCTCAGGCACTATAGTTCCCAAGGCTGCCATAAGATTCGCCCATGTTAGAAACTACATTTCCCATCCGTACCGACTGTGTGTTTAACACATTTTGTCTTACCTTTATACCCTAGCATAGAAAGATTCACCCTATATATCCAAAGCTACAATTTTTCCAAGATTCCTATTAGACCTGGCTAATGGAAACCCTCCATCGAGTGGATGTACCTAATCGTCGTGATCCTATTATGTACTTTCATTTCCTTCTCCAGGAACCGATCTCTAATCCTACCGATTCACGGGCAATCCCACTCCGAACATTCCGAACGTGTCCTCCCGTTCCCTTTCATCGATCTTCGCGTTCCGTGTCATCCAGTGAAAGTTCCCCTGGAATACAACACGGTAATGTTTTCCTCTGCATCGATGAGGCCAGCCTGCTTGCCGGTGTGGATTTCCGTTCAAGGTGTATCGTTATATCCTGCGAAGATTCTGGCCCCCCTCTTTTATTTCGGTGTTTTGAACGCGTTACGAGCCGTTGGTGTCCAGGTTTTGCCGCCCGAACCTTCGCGACTCTTGGACTTTCGGTGTCTCCGCTATCACGGAGAACGCACCAGACAGAGAGAGAGAGAGAGAGAGAGTGAAAGTTCCCGCTGGCGGTGTTACACACGCGTGTCGAGTTTTTGGCATTGGGCGTTGGGATTGGAGGGCCTCGGCTGGTATCGAGGTCACTGGTGCCACCACCACGGTGGATCCACGACATCGGTACGATCGCGTGTGGCCCGCACAACTGGCTGCTGCCCCCAAAAACTTTGGGCTGTGCGAACCGTTCACATCGGCTGCTCCGCGCGCGCGGATACCCGACGACCGTCTGTCTCGTCGTCGCCTCTTCCGGGCCTCCAGCGGGTCCGTTTGCCGTCGCCGCCTCGTCAGCTACCCGCGACGAATCGCGGAAGTGAACCGTCCGTGAGCCTGGATAGATTTTTGCAGTTTATCCAGACTGTCGACGCTCGAGAAATGGATCGTGCAGTGACGGCAGAATCTCTTATTCTTGTGACCAGGCCCAGTGTTCGGTCGTGATGATCGATCGAGAATCCTCTGGGATCCAGTTTGCGTGCAATCATTGGTGATCCAGAAAGGAATCGTGCGTTTAGTTATATGGACCACTTGTGTGATCCAACGTGACATTCCTTGTGAAACGTTCGATTCGATCGACTTGGATCGGGATTGAGAGCTGGGATTTTCTTGGATATTATCATTTGGTTCGAAGACATCGTAACTGTGACATACCATGTGCGCGAAGATGAGTGTGCTGCAAGGTCGCCACATAGGTAGGAGGTCTATTTTAAACTCGATCTAGCAGGTGCTAACAACCCGAGTGATAAATATAAAATTGTGCCTGGCGTTGGCCGATGTTGGGGAGAAATAGAATATAGGATGCGTCCGTGGATACGCTGGTAGCATGCAATTCGTAATCGGTAAATTAGGTTTGTGGTACGGATTTTTTTAAGTTTCGAGTAATCAGTCATAAGTGAAAGTACACTTGTTTTGTGTACTTGTAGGAAAGTTTCTATTTTTTAAGAGCCGTACGATATGTATATCATATTTTCAGAAATAACTTTTTATTGGTTTTGATTGAACGAAAAAAGGAAGTATACCAAAAGAAGAGGGAGGTAATGATGAAAAGTTAATCTTCGAGAGTGTAAATTAAAAAATCATGGGAGCAAGCCAAAAATGAAACGGTTCAGAAAAAGCGCAAGTGTAATAATTCATATTCTTCCACCCTTTTTATTGTCTAGTACTGAATAGAAAGTTATATTAACAATTATACCAGTTCTCTTTTCAAATAACTGTAAACAGAAAAGAGTCTAAAAATTGTAATTAGAAATATTGATTCGAAGAACACAGAAATGAAAAAAATGTTGAAAAAAAACATAATGAAAAAATATGAATAATTTCAATTTTACCGAATGGACAACAGCCCCGACAAATTTATCGTGAATCTTTAAAGAAAAAACCTTCAACTTCGCTTAACGAAATTTCTCGTCTTTCCGTTTTGGCGATCCGGATTTGCGGAAATTCGCGATCTGATGACGCAACCCGAAGAATTGGTTTCCGTGGTGCAACGAGGTGTCAGTTTGTCAGTGTCCCCCGGGTCAATAACACCGAGTCGCGATTTCACAATTGCACGGTTCGCTAATTGCAAATCACAATTGCGACTACGCGACAGCGACCGAACGCGGCTCTCAGATAGAAATATTCCTGGAGTAGCTCTGTATCTAACTAGTATCGGAGACGAGAAATAGAAATTGTTCACGGAAGGCAAACGACCGATTATCAGGACTATAATCTTGATAAACTTATGATTTTGATTTCATGTGATAAAGAAATGAATTTCTAGAAGATAATGAGAACCAATTGTTTTAGGTAATAAGAAGGTGACTAATTATACTGAATTAACAAAATTGCATATCAGTTAGTGAAACATTTCGGAAGCACAACAGACAAAATAGGTAATTATAATAGTAAGATCTTAGATGTTAGGAAACTGTACAAGAATTCATATTGTTTTTCTGTGTGCATAGTCTAATTTCATATTTCTTTTGCAAGTCTAATATTTTTACTGTCTGAAGCTTTAAAAAATCTTAAGTACTTATCTTATCAAAAATTTACAAGGAAGATTGATTTAGGAACGATAAATGCGTTAATCCCATAGGATTTCCTCGATTATGTTTGCATTGTGGAATACAACTCGAAGAGACTCTATTGTTTTTGTCACACGGAAGCAACAAGCGTCGTTCCCTACAATACATCTCGTCAGACTACGAACGATCACTGTAGGCATAGCATGGTCGATTGCGTAAAGGAATAGAAACCTGGAACCACGGGGTTCTTCGTTGCTTCGCAACAACACGGACTTTTGCTCCAGATTGCAACAGTTCGAGGCTGTACCAGAAACTTCGTTGCACGCCCGCTTATCATCACGGTCGTAGTTCGCACGGGTTATTCTTCCATTCGAAATATCAGAATATTTTTACAAAACGCGAACGAGGATTGTTCCTACGGGCTTCGCGAAATTTCGTCACGCGTTTCTGTCGCAATGTTTTGAACCAGCTATGCGCTGATCCGGCGAAATGGTTTCGCTCCTAAATATGATCGTTGAAAATTACTATGGAAGTGCAAACATCGGTACATACTATCGTTTCATTATTTCAAGATATTTTGTCAGCATTACTTAATCATATTTTAACAATTGGTGCATGCTATTTTATCCGTTGTTCTTGGTTTAACGTAAAATTCGAATTCCATAGGTTATTCTCATCAATTTGTGTATTTTGAAGAATTTATTCATCTATGCGTTTTTTTCAAGTACAGTAGACTCCAAAAGCTTCGTTGATGCCGATAAGGATACGGTCATGAATGTCTTCCTGTGTCACAGTATCATCAATAAATGTGATAAATTTTCTAGTTTTCTTAAAAATTACGAAATCGGTATTTTTTTCTTTTTAATTCAATTAATCACACCTTTCCGATTTTTCAAATTGAAATGTATACGTTATAAAAAGGTATATTACCTACCAATCGCAACGCGTAGGCATCGTTACCGCGGAAACTCGGCCAGCAGACTCGCACTCCCATTGGTCGGGGTTTTTCATTAATATCTCGTTAACAAAGCCTTGGATAACATTTTTGTTAAGGAAAAACTTATTTCAAATCACCTCACGAGTCTCCCATTTCTGTATAGTGCCGTATGAAATCAGTAGACAGCAGTGCAATCACATTTACGTGACGCTGGTCAATAACCGGTGGCAAACAAAATCACGTATACTTGACAGTGGCCGTTAAACTGTTGACATCTTCGTCGACTCTGATTCCGTCCGGTCATTTCGGACGCACCCCGTAGATCGGTCTCGTCACGAAATTCGATGTTTCCGCGCCGCTCGTCGGCTTATGACACAACACGGCAGAGCTTGCCGTAGGAAAAGTAAGGTAAGGCCAGAGTGGTATAATAGAAACTTTCACCGCGGAGGTTCAACGTACCGAGCAGGCCTGACTCTCACTGGCCGCTGTTCTCACTGGTTCGCCGTAGCGGCGCTCGGTCAAGCATCCGAAAAGACACGATCCACCTCGTGTACGTATACGTGTGTTTCTGTTCCGTGCCTTCTCGAGGAAGCCTTTTCCCTTCTTTCGTTGCCGCGTGCCGACACGTAAGACGAATTAAGGGGGAATATTTATAACGTTGCCCCATTGTCGTTGCAGAACGAGACGCGGAGAAATTTCTCGCGGTGCGTGGGTAAGCCGACCCTCTTCCTTCCTTCCTGCCTGCCTAGCCTCTACAGCCGGGTGCCTCTCTTTTCCGTCCACGTAACAGACGGTAAACGACGAACGCTAACGGCGACCTATTGTCGTTGACACGCGCTCGAGAGGACTTTCCTACCGGATAAACGGTTAACACGAAAGCGTCTGAACGGCGATGCAGTTCGTCATTGAAGTAGATGGAAATTGCGCTAATATAGTGCGCATATTTCATACAATATTATGGAAAAAGATTTTGTAAGGTTTTATAGAGACTCGTGGTTTTTAATTATCTTTTTTTATAGAAGGATAGATCGATATTTTATGTGTAGTCTTATGGAGCGGAAATGATTCGTGGGATACTATTCGTATGCCTGCGAGTGCTAATTTTTATGCGAATAATATTAACTTCTTTTATGGTTTAGTGTTGGGAAATTAATATCACATTTATACATTTTGTTTCCGAAATGGTGCCACGACCTGAAAGAATGTGATTCTATATGCAAGAAAATAAAACATAAATGTAGTGTAACGTTTTTTTCGTACGATGCTTCGTTTCCAAGATAATCAACTTTCAAAATTCATGGAACGCATGTGTATTCGTAGTGGCAATAAGTAGAAACAGAAAGTGATCTACAGACGCGGTAGCAAAGTCCTATTTAATTGCACGCGTATCCCATAGTGCAGAGTTTTCCTTTTAATCGCCTCTTAGAAGTAGAAATTACTATAAAAATATTCTCCCTCGATCCTACAGATCATATTACTAAACTACGAATATTCGTGCAAATTTACATTTTTATAAAGAAAGCTTCAAAAATCGACGTCGAGAAAAGAAACTTCTTTCCATTATCAAGAATTCTTCATCTAACAAGTTTACGATTTTTTATCACAGTATTTATTTTATCTTGCTTTATATGTCCATATGTATCACCAGCCCATAGAATCTGCTGTCTATTATTATTATAACAATGATTTATTTTGTTTGCTCCCGTGAACGATTGCGACCAGCTGAGATAACGCGATACACTCCAGGAACTGGAGTTTCTCATGTTCCGTCTGCTCTTCCACCACCATTTGCCTCGCGCAAAAAAGAAAGTTCGGTGAATGTGCCGATCAGGAATCCTCGTTTTTGCCACTGTTCGAGGGAAAGACTCGACCGGAAGCGAGAAATTCAGCCGCGAAAGGGAATTTTTGACAATGGTTCAGAAAATGTACGGTCATCAAACTCAGTTATTGGGAAACTGCGAATGGTTGTTCAAATATTCACATTATTGTAAATTACTTCAGAAGAACTGGCTTCAAATGAATACGCATTTCCTTTGTTAACGGTTCTGTTTAAATAGAAACATAATAAAAACTATTAAATAACGTGAAAATTTTTATTTCACTATATTTTCTATATTCATGTAAAAAAAAATATTTACAAACATCCACTTGTTAATAGAAATTTTTTCATTATAACAGATTTATCTGTGCAAATACTAGTTTTATACACTGTACATCATGGTCGAGATAGGAACATAAACATAAACATCCAATAATAACCACCACAGGTGGTTGACGCGACAATAAATCCCTGACTGCAGAGGAAAACAACAAAATTAAAATAGCAAAGCCAACGGGAATAATGCAACGAAGAAAGATGATTCATTCGTAAATGATTACTGATTCCTGCTTATATGTATTTGCAATTTTTGTTCTTTCTTTTTACAACTTGTTCCACTGTAAAAAAGAGATATCCTGAAGAGCTCGTTGAGTCGACTACTTTGTAGCTTGATTAACATTCATCAGCGAGCAAACTATTCGTCGTTTCCGCTGATAAGTCAATTCGAAGGTGGAGACATGAAAAACGGGGCTGTTACACATCCGCGAAGACTTGCCTAGATAAGCGATAACTCGGTTTTTCAAGTAACGGTACCACGGGAGGCGAGATAAAGCGTGCGAAGCTCGGTTCGACGTCACACATTGACGATAGGACGAATTGCCAACTATGTTAACTACGTTGATAAACCCAAAAACATTGGAGGATGTCTCA